CAACTACCCTTTTTCCCCACCCCCATGCTTGCCAGATGCTTTTGTCACATGTTGGCAAAACCCACTATGTCCTTAGAATCCATAGAATCCCTACAGTGTGGAAACAGGCCCTTTTGCCCAACAAGTCCACATCGATCCTCAGAGCATCCCACACAGACCCATATAACCCACCTAATCTATATATCCCTGAACACTATGGGCAATCTGTCTACTGTCTGTTTGCACCAAGATTGGAAAAGAGAAAGAACAACATTTCACACGATCTGCATATCTGGGTGAGTGGCCAATATGTGTCCAATCCACCTAGCCTACACATCTTTGGACTGTGGGAGGAAACCGGAGTACCCGGAGGAAACCCGCACAGACACGGGGAGAATGTGCAAACTCCACACAGACAGTCGCCCAAGGGTAGAATCAAACCTGGGTCCCTGGTGCTGTGAGGCAGCAGTGCTAACCACTGAGCCACCATGCCACCTTTGCTCCAGTCTAACTCTGTACCTTCTCCAGTTCCACAACCTAACAAGAACACTTTGGAGAACATTTACTAAATTAATTCCAGAGATGAAAGGCTTGTTTTACGAGGAGAGATTGACTGATTTAGGCCTAAACTAACTAGAGTTTAGAAGGATGAAAGGAAATCTAATTGAGTTACATAAGATGCTAAAGGGAATTGACAAAGTAGACAAACTGGATGATTCCCCTTGTGGGGCAGTCTACAAGAGATCATAGTTTTAGGCTAAGGTGTGACAGACTTAGAACAGATTAGGATGAATTAATACACCCAAAAGGTCATGAATCTATGAAATTCTCTACTATAGACTGCAATAGATGTTTGGATATTAAATAAATTTAAGGAGGAGACAGATTTCTAATCAGTAATGGGTTAAAGGGTAATGGGGAAGAGGACAGGAAAGTGGACTTGAGGCTGAGATGAGATCAAGCATGATCATATTAAATAAAAACTAAAAGAACTGCAGAAGCTGTAAATCAGGAACAGAAACAAAGTTGCTGGAAAAGCTCAGCAGGTCTGGAAGCATCTGTGAAGGAGAAAACAGAGTTAACATTTCAGGGATAGTAGGAACTGCAGATGCTGGAGAAACCAAGCGGAGGCTCGGGGACCGCTTTGCAGAACACCTACGCTCGGTTCGCAATAAACAACTGCACCTCCCAGTCGCGAACCATTTCAACTCCCCCTCCCATTCCTCAGACGACATGTCCATCCTGGGCCTCCTGCAGTGCCACAACGATGCCACCCGAAGGTTGCAGGAACAGCAACTCATATTCCGCTTGGGAACCCTGCAGCCCAATGGTATCAATGTGGATTTCACAAGCTTCAAAATCTCCCCTCCCCCTACCGCATCCCAAAACCAGTCCAGCTCGTCCCCGCCTCCCTAACCTGTTCTTCCTCCCACCTATCCCCTCCTCCCACCTCAAGCCGCACCTCCATCTCCTACCGACCAACCT